TGAAAAAAAAACCTCTAAGTTACCTATGCTTTCAGTTTTGCTACTTTGGCCTTATATTTAGCCTTAAAGGGACACTATAGTCACCAGAACAACTACAGCTTATTGTGTTTGTTCTGGTGAGTAGACTCATTCCCTTCACATTTTCACATTTTTTTGTAGTAAACACCATCTTTTCAGAGAAAATGCAGTGTTTACATTATAGCCTAGTGATAATTTATCTGGTCACTCCTCAGAAGGCTATTAGAGGTGCTTCCTGGGGCAGTGCTGCACAGTAAGCAGCATTAACATTCGGTGTCTCCACCCTCTGCATACACTGAACTTTCCTCATAGAGATGCATTGATTTAATGCATCTCTATGAGGATATGCTGATTGCCAAGTGGTGTGTTTGACGTGTGCTGGCTCTGCAACTGGTCTGCCTCTTTGACACTCTCAGCCAATCCTATGGTAAAGCATTGTGATTGGCTCACATAATTACTTCTTATTACGTCAGCCAAGCAGGCAGATCAGAGGCAGGGGTTAGCAGCTGCAGACTTTAACAAAAGTAAGATTTTACTATATTTAGGGAGGCAAGGGGTAAGGGGGCAGGGGGACTAGATTGTGGTTTGTGTTCCTGACCCTATAGTGTTTCTCTCAGTTTAGTAAATAATGCATTAGCTATCACAGACTATATACAATTAACAGGGTAACAATTACATCTGGGCAGAACAGGGTGTATATTTATCTATAGATAAAATTTGATGAAGCAAAACCTTTTGGCAACATTCGAACATTGGCAACATAACTTGCTTTATAAATATAAATATTCATTGTGTGGAGCATTAGATTATGTAACATGTTATAGAAGTTAAATTAAGCCCATATAATATGTTATGCCTTTAGGTTTTAAAAAACAGCAGAAATTACCGTATATACTCGTGTATAAGTCGATCTCATGTATAAGTCGAGTGCAGTTTTGTGACCAACAAATGTGAAATATGCTATGCCTCGTGGATAAGTCGAGGGTAAAACTTGGGGCTATGAAATTCTGTGATTTTTATAATTATATACACACACACTCATACAAACTCACACTCTGCATTATATATACACACTCATACAAACACACACTCTGCATTATATATACACACACATTCATACAAACACACATTCTGCATTATATACACACACACACACACATACAAACACACACTGCATTATATACACACACTCTGTGTATATAATGCAGAGTGTGTATATAATGAAGAGTGTGTGTTTGTGTAGTGTGTGTGAACTGGGTGGGGGGAGGGCATTTTTATTATTTAAATTTTTTTATTTTAATATTATTTTTTTTATTATTTAAAAAAAAATTTGTCCCCCCTCCCTGCTTGTTAACCGGTCAGGGAGGGGGCTATCTTAATCCCTGGTGGTCCAGTGGCATGGGCTGTGAAGTGGGGGGCCGGCAGGAAGCATTTACTTACCTTTCTTGCAGCTCCTGTTAGCTCCCTTCTCCTCCGTTCCGGTCAGCTCCACTGTAAGTCTCGCGGTCTGGTTGCCGCGCGGATTGTTGCCACGGCTCTGGCGGCCGCGGCTCTCTAAGTTGCCATAATACAAACAGTGACTCGAGTATAAGTCGAGTGGGGGTTTTTAAGCACAAAAAATGTGCTGAAAAACTAGACTTATACTCGAGTATATACTGTAACTCAATATCTACAATAAATATCTGATCATTAACACTGCTTAATTGTATTATTTTAATGCACATGCTTGCTGTAGATCTTTTAGTAATTACATACAAAAATATAGGAATTGTATAATAGTCAAATATCTGGAGCTAAGCATTTGAGAGAATAAACACACATATAAAGTTTGGGAATAAGAGGCACTAAAGTGACTTCTCAAAATGAAAAAGAAAAATAATTTTACTATGCAGGGAAAAATTAACAAAATGATTGTTACATTTTAAGTCAAAATAGCCAAATATGAAAAACAGCTGAAATGTATATATTTTTTTCCAGTTTGCCTAATATTCATAATAACCTTCTCAGTTCTACAAAATAAACAATTTAGTGATATTTAGTCTAAGTGACTATTTCGAACTCTGAAGTCATTTACTATTAACTCTTTACCAAAATAGGAAATAATTACACATGATCTATCATCATACTGGAATGAAATATGACAAATACAGTTAAAAAAAGAAAATTGCAATATATAATACAATGTCTAAAATAAACTAAATTCAATAAGCAGAACAACAAAGGCTGTTTTTAACACAGATTTTGGGTGAAACAGTATCCAGTGCTGCAGGTGCAGACATCAGACACAATGCAAAAATTAAATGTATTTAAATTTAAAGAGATGATAAACATTCCATTAAAAATATGCTTCAGATATGTTCTCCCTGTGATGGCATAAGTTAGCAAAAACCTGAACGAGGATTTTCCCGAAGGGAAAGCTACTGAGCTTATGTCCATTCTCAGAGTTCTCATATTCTTTGTTTTTGTTGCAATGCATTAACTTGGCTCTCCCCAAGTTAAAAGGGTAATTCAGACGTGGGCCCCGTGTTCACTGTGCCGAGAGGGGTATCAGTTACACCTCACTGATGAGCCCCAAAGAAGGCCAAAATGATCGTCTGGGGTTGCTGTATCTCTTGTGCAGAGAGAACTTACTGGCATTTCGGTTCTGGACTGCCCTTATGGGTGGAATCAGTCTGATATGCTTCAGATATGTTGTCTCTGTAATGGCACAAGTGAGCAAAAAATATTTTGAGATCTGAACAGGGATTTAACGAAGGGCAAGCTACTGAGTTCCTCTCAGCTTTTTTCTATTCTCAGAGTTCTCCTATACTTTGCTTCTATTAAAACTATGCTGCGAGGAATCTATGGTTGCCGTCCCTCCATTTTTTGTCAATACAGTTTGACCACATTATGGATCTCTTGGCAAATCCCAAAAAAATCCTGCCTATGTCTATTCAGAGGTTGTTGTTACCACTGCAATGGGCATTAAAATGCAAGCTTAGCTGCCAACATCTAGGCAAACTCCCAGGGTGAGTACCAGTCTAGCATTTTACCTAGCAGCCTTCATATGAAAGGCAAAATTATTAGTGAGACCCAATTTAGCACCGTTATGAATCCCTACAAAAGTATTTAACCCTACCTATATCACTCATGGACTGGACTGCAACAATGTAACCATGATGTGTAATGCAAAAGCAAATACAAATACAGAAATTAGCCCTGCACTCAAACTCCCACTACTCTCGGCATAGGTGTTTGCTATAGTATTCAGTCCCAATGTACAAGTAAAACCAAACCAAAATTGTTTAAGCATGTTTTGTATTTTGTTTAACTCCAAATTCCTTTTTATTTTATTGTACCCATTAAAAAGAGCTCAAAAAAATATTGGTACTTTTCTTTAGTTGCCGTCTCTCTTCCCATCTAAGCAACTTCTTCTATGTTCCTACTACCACTCTCTCTCCTCTTCCATGATTGTGACTTTCCATCAAAACTTGAAACAGTTTGTTTCTGTGAAGGTCTTGTTTATGGAACTAATTACCAGCATCTACCATCTTTCTCAATTTTAAAAATCTCATGTTGCAAAAAAATAAATAAATCTAGATTTATCCAACTTTCCTCTACTCAAATCATACATGATATCCCACTGGCTAATTGACACAAACTTCCATCATCGCCTACTGAACTGTCTTTTTTACAAATATTAATGTTGCTTTTTCACTTGTCCCCATCCCATCTAGCTTTAAAGTTTGTGAGCAGTGCCTTACAACCTGCTATATTGTTTGTTTTTATTTTCTGTCAAATGATATTTTCAGTCATTGTCAAGCATTTTTTGCTCTGCATGTGTTTTGGTACAACATAAATAAATAATAGGCATATGTTTTAACAAGCCGTGGCATTTTCAGCATTCAGACATACCACACAATGCCTTATCATTTCTTGGTATGAGACACATAAGTAGAATTTCTAACTTCTTCATCTTGTATATAGATATTGTTTTTCAACTTATACGGGAAGACCAGGGTCTAGATCATGAAATCTTGCAGTTTTTAAAATTAACAATTACTATTTCCCTTTATTGAAATTATTGTAAACCTGTAAATCACTAAAAATTATTTTTTGTTTTTTTGTTTTCTTTTCATTCATTATTTTCTTTGGGTCTTTGGGTTTAAAAGTTTAGAAGGAATAGGTCTACAAAGTTTTGATAGATGGACGAGGCCGTTACATTCTTTAGTACCAGTGTCATCACAGTGTGTAAATGGTATTACAAATGTGACATACAGGTCTAGCCACAAAGGGTAATCTGAGGAAACCAATTTATCAAAAACTAACAGCACTAAAATAAAAAGGGAAGGGGGTTTGCCACCCATTGTGAACGTTGAGACACTCAGCTTCCATTTTCCCAGAACGCCCACACTTTAGTAAAGGTAGTCATAGAGTTATGAGCATTAGCCATGAAATTGTCCAACAATAAGTTATCAGCGATTTCTTTTGCCATATTTCAGCCATAGTAGAAACTGTTGTTCGCATCCACTCGGCTGCCAGAGCTCTTCTGGCTGCGAGTGTTATCTATTTAATTAGTTTTTGTGTGATGTTAAAATGTTATTGGGTTTGAACAGAAGGAAGACCCGTGGATTCTGGTCAAACAGTCTGTGAAATATTTGATATAGAAGGCCCTCCCAATATGGTGAAACCCAGCGACACTCCCACCACATGTGTTTGTATGTGCCTCTTAATCCACATTCTCTCCAATACAGACCAGTCAGGGTCTTTCCCGTTTTGTGTAATTTGACAGCACTGCATTAAAATGTTAAACACACATACTGAGACCTCACTAGCTGCCTCCCACATATCCTCCCACTCATCTCCCTCTATCCCATTTCCCAAGTACTCCTCCTACTGCTTGGTGTATGCTAATTCTGAATATTAGAATTCAAGCAAATTGCAGCATAAGGAAAGAGAGATAAGTCATTTCTTTTTTCTTTTTTTTATGTCTTAATTTTTCTTTCTTTTTTTTTTAATAATCCACATAAATACAGTAAATACAAAAAAAGTTAATGGGGATACAGAAAAAAGAGAAGGGAAAGGAATAAATAAATGTGCTCTGTGGAGCTACATCAAATGCAGTTTAACATTATTACATTGGAAAATATTTCAAAACATACATTTAGTATTTTTACATATTTCTGAGGTATGCAATAGAGTATACACCAAAGCTTAAAGAATCTTAAATTCTTTCCCCCTTTTACTTATAACGACGATAGCTATAAATCTTTACTTTTCTGTTTATTAACCTATTAGATTGACTTTGGATTTTAGCCGAGGGTGTCTTAGCACATTGATTAATTAATTTTTTGATCACTCAACTCTACGTTAATTTTCCTTTGGCTTAATGATCCTACCTTATAGTCATAATATCATCTTAATATCGCTCTCTATCTACCTATCTCTTGTAGCTCTCCAACTCAAAGCAAATAAACAAAGAAAAAATAATATTTTTTTAAAAGGAAGGGGGAGGGTAATCCTAGACCTGTAGCTCACGTCTCGATTTCTATAGAATAGTCATATAGTAAGTTAAATTGCTATATTCTCAGCCAGCAAACTCTTGTAAAGGGCTTTATAAGAGATAAGTCATTTCTTGCTCTGTCTCTGGTCACATAAGATGTCAAAAAGGTAGGTCTTCGGTTAGCAGTCTGTTTAATCTGTTCTTACCTGATCTCAATATAATGACAGAAATATTTTTTCTTGATACTGGGGGATTTTGTTATTTCTTCAAATGGTATAAGTAAAGTATTCTCTATAAAGGTGATGCAGGCTTTGAAAGGCCACTGTTTCCAGAGTGGCAAAGTTCTGAGTTGCCATTACTGGTGAGAACTCTGTATTTCTCAGGATCGGGTTCATTGGTAAAGTGCTTTTCAACACTGCATATTTTTCCCTTACCCTATCCCATATATTTATAGTGAAGTGTTGCTGGGGATTCTGTCCTAAGTGGTGTTGTTTATCTAAAATTGGGGCAGATCATGAGCCCAGATTCTAAGTCCACTCTGCACCTGTCCCCGGGATGGGCGCGCAAGAGGACAATTTGCATTAGTTGAGCGGCAACACAGTAGTACATGCAGAATTGAGGAACCCCCAATCCTGCATGAGATCTAGGGTGGTGCAGTACCTTTCTAACAAACCAATGGCTTTTAACTCCCCAAATGAAGTTATCTATATCGAATTGTTGTTTGTTTAATTCCCCCTATGGAGCTCTCACTGGTCAAGCCTAAAGAAAAGTATAAGTAAGTTCAGGTTGATCAAATGTTTTCTACCCATCCAAGAGTTTGGTCTTGCTTCCCACTTTTCCTGGTTTTTAATGGTCCTAAAGAGCTGCCCATAATTAAACAAACCTAATTGATCCAGGTTTTAAGTCATGTTTCAAAAGTCCAGGTTTTGAATCTGGAATCCATATTTGGACCTCAACTGCACCACGTCCTGAGCTCGAACATGGAAGAGCATGATACAGAATTGATCAAAGTTAACTTTGTAACTAGAAAGGGCTTTAAACTGTGAGATCACCTTAAGCAGTGCAGGGAGGAATTTGGTAGGGTCCAGGATTGATGGTAATATGTCATCAGCATATACTGATACTTTACAGTTGGATCCAGCTTCTGTTATCTCTTAATGTCCAGGATTGTTCTAATAAGATGCTAGAGGGGCTCAATGTGAAAATGCAAAGAGAAGGGGAGACAGGGGGCATCCCTGCCTTGTTCCATTGGACAAGGGGAAAGGAGACCATTTGGTGTTAGGCAAAACTATTTTTTGGGTTTTGAGTGATGGGTATAGGGAATATACCAAGCTGATAGACTCCTCTGGAAACACCAGTGCTGTAGTAGTACAAATAAATATGTCCACAATCCCCTGTCGAATGCCTTCTCTGCGTCTGGAGATAGGACCCGAGAAGGCACTCCATGCCTCCTTGCCCACCAATTTAAGTCAGCTGTGTATCTCTTGTTTTCAAAGAGTTGTCTGTCTTTAATTAACCTGGTTTGATCAGGTTGTATCAGCACGGGGATAAGTGGATTTAGTCTAGTAGCGTACATTTTTGACAGCATTTTTGCTTCAGATTGGCCTGTAATTTGCAACCCCATTAATCTTACAGAAGGAGCCAGAGATGTAAGCCCTGTCATAAATTAGGTCAGTCATCTTTATCTAGAATAATATAGATTTAAAAAAGTGAACCACCGATATTGGGCTACTGTGAAGTAGTGGTGGGTGGTGGAACTGAATGCCCATATTTAGAGTTGAGCGGACACCTGGATGTTTGGGGCTGGTGGGTTCAGCCAAACTTGAAAAAAGTCCGGGTTCGGGATCGAACTTGACCCCGAACCCCATTGAAGTCAATGAGGGCCGAACTTTTGGGCACAAAAATGGCTCTAAAAAAACTCCTGGAAAGGGCTAGAGGGCTGCAAAAGGAAGTAAAATGAGGGTAAGAGTAGGACAAGTGCCCTGCAAACAAATGTGGATAGGGAAATCACTTAAAAATAATATAAAATAAGCAGCCCTTAGTGGATAACTCCCTAATTCACACAGTGTTAGGGAGCTATCTACCAAAAGGCTGAAAGATCTAAATGGCTGCTCACTGTAAAAGTGGGTGCTCACTGCAAAAAAAACAAACAAAAAACCTATTGCCCCCACCCCTGTGCAACGGGTGTGGGCCCTAAATAAGAATGTGGAGGGGGGGACCTACTGTCCTCCCCCCGGCCCCCACCCCTGAGCGGCAGATGGAGGCCCTAAATAACAATAAGGGGGGGACCTACTGTGCTTCCCCCCGGCCCCCACCCCTGAGTGGTGGGTGGGGCCAAAAATAACAATACGGGGGGACCTTAGAAGGAGGGGACCCTAAATAAAAATTTACCCCTACAGGTGACTAGGGGTCCCCAAACCCCTAGTCACCCCCCTCCCCCCAAAAGAGTTGCCCCCTACCTACCCCCCTCATTCTAAAAATAATGAGGGGGGACCCTTATCTAAATACCTGTTAAAAACAAAATATAGACTTACCATATGATGTCTTCTTTCTTCTATAATCTTATTTTTTCAGCCCCAAAAAAGGCCAAATAAAAATCCAAGGGGGGCAATAGGTCCCCCCTTTAGTTTAAAAGCCCCCACTCACGCGTTGCGGGTGGAGGGTCAGGAGGGGGAAATTTGTTTTTGTCAGTGAGCAGCCATAAACTCCAACCTGAACATACATTGATATGTCCATGTTCGGGTCCGGGGTCCAAAAAACTTAATGTTTGGTACGAACCCGAACTTTTCAGTTTGGGTTCGCTTAACTCTACCCATATTTTTTTGCTGAGATACGTGATTTTATGTAGCCTTATAAAATTTTAAATTCAAATTTTATGTGTGTGCTGTTTCTTGATCTGTATTAATTATAAATTTTGGTCTCTATAGCAGCATCATTCCAGTAAAATGCATGCTCTAGATGGGCCCCCAATTCCTTTTTTAGGTTTATCAATCTTCATAATATGAGTTTCCTGTATAAATGATATATCAGCTCTAAGCCACGAAATCCTGTAGTAGTAGCCTTTGTATTTCAAGTCCATTCATTCCTTTTGCATTTAATGATACAAAATTAATTGAAACCCATTTTGGGTGTAAGGAGTGAAAGCAGAAGGTAGTTGTAGCCAGCTATGCATCCACGTATGATATGGAGCTATCTTAGCTAATTCCAAATCCCTCCCCAGGGCAATCTCCTCCTTCCTCCAAATCTTGTCTCCTTCCGCCCTTGGTGGGTGGCCAAACAAAAAAGGGGGGAATATAAATTAACAGTAACATGTAACAAAAATAATAATAGAAAAATAAGTATTTAAAAAGAACATGCAGCCTGGTCTTTGCCAGACATGTTGAGGGGTGGTCCCACTCCTACCTGTTCAATACCATCATAAAAAAAAGGCACATGAGGTAAAGGGAAGTGTCCATCACTCAGACACCTCATCGTAAACTGTTAATACAACTCTGAAAAATGGTAACAAAAACTTTCAGATGCAGCATTTCTTACAGCATAAATAAGTGCACAACTTACTACAGAAAATCTGCATCCATTGTGGAACAAGGTCCCTTTAAACATCTTTGAATAACATTAAGCAATAGCTGGATGGATGGATGGATGGATGTATGGATGCATGGGTTGGTGTGTGGTCGGTGTGTTGGGTGTGTTAATGGATGTGTTGGTGGATGGGTGGGTGCATGGGTGGGTGGATGGCTGGATGGGTAGACAGTCGGTGAATGCCTGAAAATATAACCACAAGAAATAAGAAATGTATTTTTCGAAGCATTGTTAGTATCATAATGGTATTTACCACTCAGTAAATATTACTCAGTAATTTTCAGAAAATCTATAAAAATATTTTCCCCTCTTTTAGATTTCAGTTCCTCATAAAGCGGTCAATGTATAGAACTAATAAAAAAAAACACAAATGTTATTCAATCATCAAAGTAAAATAAGTGAATGCATTGTCCAAAAGGATGAGCTGAAAAATATTCCTTCGTCCTTTCATTAGTACAAGATGTTTGACCTGAAATTGAAAGATATTTGCACTGATATATATATATAATTATTTTTTCTCATTCTACTAGATGTATGCTATATTACAAGTCACTTCAGTTGTAATGATTCTATTGTGGAGTGCAGGTCTTACATACAATGACAACTGACACTTTTGGAGTCTTGACATTGAAACAGCTGACACTATTATATACACAGAAACAAATTATTCAAGAAATAGATTAGGTTTCTGAAACACCTGATTCCTAATATAATAAACATTTTCCGTAACCTAAATGGAAAGAAACATGAATCAAATCGCATTCTTTACAAGTCAAGCAGATCAGGAATCTAAGTTTGTTGGCATTTTGTATCCAACTATAAAAACTGTGTAAACATATGTCTATCTATACCTGACAAAAATGTGTTTTTAAAAAGAATTAGTACACAAAAGACCATAGCAGATTTTAAAAAGGTTCATTGTGCAATAACATTCGTAACAAATATATTTAAAGCTACTTTAATATGTTATATTATATTTTATATTTAATTGCATACTTTGAAATTATACATTATTATTATTATTATTATTATTATTATTATTATTATTAAAGGTCAGTACAAGTTTGAAAATGAATTCTGCTAATTTTGCTAAATGAAATGTGGCCTATAGACTATGGTACATTATATAACAGGTTAATGTTTAGTCTTGCTGAAAAATGACAGATAAAACAGTCGAATTTGTATTGTAGACACCAAAGATTAGAGTTCACAACTAAGACTAGTGCATTAGAGCTAAGTTGTCCAAAAG